ATGATTGTATTTTATTAGGAAGGTACTTCTATGATTCTCCTCTTGGATGATTTTCATAATATTCACACAATCAGAATGCCAGACAACCTGAAATTGTCTAAAGCAACACACATGGCTTCTGTTCTACTTGACATTCACCTGGAAATACCAGCCGTAAAAAAACCCAACGCACAGTGTGTCCACAGTGTTTTGAAAATTACTTTCAGAGGGCAGGAGACTGTTTGCAGAGGTGGTATTGTAAAAAGATACATACAAGAACTGTTCACAGAAAGTCTTAAAAGCCACCACCACTCATTTCTAACCTCTCTTCCCCAACAATGTCAGCAGCTGAAGGCTAAAGATATACAAAAACAGATCAAACAGTTCAGGTGTTTATTAAGAGTTTCATGTTTTCTCTTTTCCCACAACTGTCCAGTTTAACAGGGTTTCATAGCTGTGGTGTGTAAAATCGCAGTGAATGCATAAACTGTAATAGCATTTGAACCATGAAGAAAACAAATTAATTATATCTTCTTTTGCCAAGTTGATTGGGTTTGCATGAATTGTTTGGTACAAAAAAAACAATTAAAAAAAAAACACAAAACACTAAGACACCCTCAATTGGAAATACACTACATGTACATGTGCTCTTGTACTATGTATGTTCCAGCAACCCAGTAGGTAATGACTTATTTTTCTCTACAATAGACCTGCATTATGTATGCATTATATAAAGTCTTAAATTGCAATCATGGTGCACAAGTAACAATATTTTTACTTTAATTTCTAGAGTATACAATGGCATGGCACAAGATGAACTTCTTACCCTGAGCACTTGCGTTTTAATAGACGAATTCGAGGCAGGCCTGAAAAGCATGGAGGATTACAAGGCTGCACTTAACCATACATTCCATTCTGCTCTTCCCCTTCATGATTTCTGTAAATTATTTGTCATTCCACTGCCTGGAGATTGGCCAACCTGGTACTACACCAAAAAAAAAATAATTGCTCAGCTACCAGAAACAAGTTCCCAAGAACACCCTTTATTTGTCCCTTATTCCAGAACAAGGACCTTTTCATGTCTGCTTAAATATAAATGAGGATGTCATTAAAAGCCACCACATAGTTTTTGCAAGACTTTATAAAGAGGTTTTTGGCAGTGACTTCCCACTTAAACCAAAACCCTTTCGAACAAGCCTCATTATTACAGGAACCTTGTGTGGATGGTTGTTAATCAGACATAAAGTCCTGGCCAAATTCAAGTTCTGCAAAGATATTGAATTTCTGTACCTGGTTAATTTACTTGAAGAAATTTTGCCACTGGTCTTTTTTCAATATGACAGCATTTTTTTGCTCTGGTAATCTGGAACTGTACATAAATGTCATGATTCGTCTAGCCATTATTTTCATTATCTGGGAGCGACATCATTATGACAGATCCACTCTATCCATGTTAAGTGACTTGTATCACCAAAAGATCAACTTTCCTGCCTACTATAACTTTAAAGAGCAATGGCTATCAATAATAACAGAAAAGAAGGTAGAAATCTGGCATTCATTGTTACGAAATCACATTTCAACACATTACAGTGGTGATGAGATACATGACACAGCAATTTCTCTGGCTGCTTCTGACACTGCTAGGAAATTTCGTTCTTCCTTTGTGAGGCCATACACCAGAGGTCAATCGGAAAAAAACATGAAACTTGTGGCAGGTAATGTGTTTCACAACTGCAAGGGACAACTGTATCTAGCTTTATTATTCTCTTTTCAAAAGAAAAGTGATACATTTTTAAAAAATTAATCAACTACAACTTTCTCTTTAGTCTTATTTCCAATTTATTCCAGAAAAGACATTGTTTAAAAACTAAGTTGAAGAAAAACCAATCACCCATTAACCCAACTTTGAACTTTACCTTAAGAATGACATTGACAGTGGAAGTCTTAGATCTTAATGCAGGCAGTGACAATGAAATTGCTTCCTCATTGTTTTTAATGTAACATTATTTAAGATATTTAATGCTGTTTGTATATTCTAGTGTTGCCTCTTGAAAACCAATTTTGCAGATATTAATGGAGCTTCATTTAAAAATTTCCATAGTCTTACTCTCTCCTAGAAACTCTTGACCAATGATTTGGTAGATACACGTAACATGCAGATATTTTACAGTGTATGAGTTGCATAGTCCTTTTAAACCCCACAAAAACAAAAACACAAAGATACAGGTTGCTGTCATTCTAGACCATGGTCACAAATTTATACTGAAAAAAAAAAACTTGCATGGCCATAGATACGTATTGTCTTGATTTGCCTCACTTAATGTGAACTTCTAAAACTTGTACAGGCAAAGTTGCTGAGGTGCTTTTGAAATTATTCCAGGATGTTGCTCAAAATATTGGAAAGTCTAAGAAGGTAAGTATCTGCATCATTTTGTAACTCTACACATAAATCTTCTTGTTTGAATTGAATAGATGAAAGCGAAGCTATTTAGATTTCAACGGATAAGCCGCATAAATGTCACCTCATCAATACCTAAGCCAACACTGTCAAGCACACAGGTGAAGAAAATGGATGATGAAAGCTCACCTTAAAGAAGCAGCAAACTAACAAGGCTAACTCTCAATATTACAAAATAAAAGAAGTGAAAAAATTATTATTAACAGTTCATATTTTATCCTTCAGCTAAAAAAAACATGGCAAACCTAATGAAAATGTGATAAAGTTAAATAAAATTAATACTGTTCTACTATGAAGATTAATGGAGGAATCATTAAAGCTTGACTATCACTGTCTTATTCTTAATATTCCTTAAAACTATCTTCTGTGTTTGACAGAAACATTATTTTTGTTACACAGGTCACAGACAACCCTTCCAGTCAAAGTCAAAACAAAAGACAAAAATTCCATCTTCAAACATTCAATGAAATTGTTGATACAAAGTCTCTTCCTCTTTCGTACAAACATCTGGATAGCAACCCACAGTATCCAAATCCAGCCATTTTATGCGACTACAGCAACTGTGCTGTAACTCAAGACACTGACCAATTTGTAAGACTAGCTTGCTGCCACACTTTCCACCAAGAATGTTACCTTCGAAATAACTCTAACTGTCCCATCTGTACTAAGCCTCTGTTAAAGAAAGTAGCCATGCTGGCTGATACTTTTAATCTCAGTTTACTAACACCTACTAAATCGTCGTCATCAACTACCAATGCAGAAACATCCAACTTATCCTCTGAAGAGCCTGACACAGAATTAACTCCTAACAATTCAAGACAACCTATTTTCTATGAATCCGATGAATGGGAACAGTTTGTAGATCATGCTTTAGCTAATGTCACTGTCCCACAACCTCCAAGTTTAAGAGTACAAGGACAACAACAAGAATGTCAACAGCAACATCCAAAGCAGCCACACTGCCAAGACCAAGGAGTCAATCACCAAGCGCAACAAGCAAATCAAAACATCAACATCACATCAGTGAACAGTGCAGGCAGCAAATTCCTTTTTTTTCCACAGTCTGTTTCGCAGGCTACTATGAATGGCAGGAGGGGGTCAAACGCTTGCACTTTCATTGCATTGTACTTGGCAAAAAGTTATCATGCCAACATAGGACACCTACCACCCCCAACACAAATTTCACCTGTGTGGGCTGCTGTTGTGATGTCCTGCATCATTCAGGGAAATTCCACACATGACACTTTAACTGGGGAAGAGCAATTAATTTTGCTGTGGATGATGCAGTCCAACACCTTAGACAAAACTTGGGACAAATTCAAATGGAAGATTCGTTTGACATCACATTAACCAGTGAAGATATAAATGTACCCCAGTCATCAGCAGCATTTTACCTCCAACGTTTAACTCAAGAAGCTAATCTATCTGCAATTCTTATTATCACCGATATGACAATTTGTTTTGTTGCACATGGAGCAAATATTGTGATGTTCGACAGCCACTTGCATGGTAATTTTGGAGCTCTTATTGCCAGTACAACTGTTGAAAACACCGAGAATTTCTTGAAGGCAGTGAAAGCGATGATAAGCCCAAACTACAACATGTGCTCCTTAACATTTGTTAAGTTTGCTTAATTTTCAATAAGGGAACGCGTCCAAATATCGGTAGGCAACCCGATCATGGGAAACGGACCCGATTAATTTTCCGATTGATCGGAATCGGTACCGATCTATAGGCACCAGTTGCCGTTTCCGATTACGATAAAAACTTTGCCGATTCAATCGGAGCCGGTTGACATTCCGATGTTCATATGTGTCATCGTCATATTATTTTATCTGATATGTAAAGTGAAGCGTGTCACGAAACCAAATAATGAAAGAGTCGTTTCACTTCAAAGTAATTTCAATCGACTGTTCCTTTTTCCTACTCCATAACAAATAGCAATATTGTATGTTTCTGCATGTTGTGTTTCGAGTTTGTTGATTTGATGCGTGCCTATACACGTGATTTTCGGCGTTTTGCAGAGGTATTTCCTTCAGTCGATCGCAAACACCATGCTGCTCCATAACATTTATTCTATGAGAATTAAAAGGAGTTAAATATTACGACGCAAAACACCACTGTTCTTCGTTGATATATAGCAAACAAAACACCATACTGAGTAGTGTGTTCTTTACTCGATACTAATTTCTAACAATGCAATCCAAAAACACAACCGGAACTCACTTTCTCGAAACACAGCTGGATTCATAGACTTGTTACAAGTAGACCTCAACGGGTTTCCTAGCGAGCGGAGCGAGAGCAAAACCATGGATAATGTAAAACCACGGGATAAACTTTTACGAAAATTTGCGTCTTTCATTCAACGATCCTAAACGCAAGGTGTAATGCGATCTGAGGCAAAAAATACCGACCAATTAGATTGGGGCCTCAGATTGTCTCCAGGGAATTGGCAACAGGAACTGAAAGATTCCCACACTCGCGAGTCACGGAAGACACGAAACGAAGTTTCATACAGGAGCTACCAAAGAGAGAATGGCTTAGCGACTTTGCTGTATGTTCTGTGAGCTTGAGCATGGTGCCACGTAAAATTGCTTTCCACTCTCAGCACTTAGAAAAAATTGCGCTTGACTCTAGGTGGCTGACTGTTTGACAAAAATCAGAACCTATTTTACCGGAGTGTTCAACTAAAGTAAACTGGCATACATCCGGTAAGTTCGACTCAATTTAATAGCGGAAAGACAATCGAGAAAGAGAAAACCAGTTGAACGCCTCCATCAGTCACTTTTTTGAGTTCATATGCAACCAATAAACAACTTGCAGCTTGATTCTCAGACGATGTCCTCTTCTCTCCTGTGGCAATTTAGCAGTTAAAGTACACAACATGGTAACAACATTTGCATTTTGGTCGTGGATGTTCTGACTTCTATTTTTTCCTTTACAGTCCTAAACTGTTTATTCCTCCAAAGATTCCTATAATCATGCGTTTTGGCTTCCGGTTAGCAAAGGCTCAAGCTATTTTAAAATTATCATTTTTTTTTAAATTATCACATCGTACACTTGCAATGTACATTGCGCCGTCTTTCACTCAAAAGATGCCTGTTGTTTCTTCTCGTGCCCATTTTGATACACAAATTTAATATTTTCTGTTCATACTCTGTCATAGGAAATACAAACAAATGTTCGAAACCGTGACGTTAAATTTCGGTTCAAACAAGACACATTTATAAGAAAGATAAGGTTATAAAAAACAACATTCACGCTTTTGCTTTTGCTTTTGTGACGGGTTATTTGAGCTGCCAGATATTCTTGATGACCTTTGTTAATTGGCCCGATAAAGACTTGAGACACGTTGCCGATTCCCTTTCATTCGGTGCCGATAAAATCGGGTCCGACCTTCAACGGAATCGGAAAAAATCGGTGCCCAATTGATCGGCATCGGTATGACCCGATGCCGATATTTGGACGTGTTCCCTAAGCTTACATGTAAGTTTAAGTTTTAAGTTTTCCGGGATTTAAAACATAGGCTCATTTGATGAAATCAGAAATGACATTAATAACTATTTTCGTCAGATTTTGTTTGTTCTTATTACAGACCTTAACTCTTTGCGAGAAAATGTGAGTTTATTTGATGTAAGAAGTTAGAAGAAGCTTTCATCTGTCATGAAAGAGAACCATGAAATGTACGAGTTCATCAACGAGAGCAACCAAACAATGTTGTATTTTGCAGAACAAGCCAGAACCTAAAGTGTATGGTCAGTATTCAATGAAATAACCAAGTGTTCATTAAAGCAGGTGTTAGTATAAAAGTATTCTATACTACAAACTTAAGGTTAGATTTTTCAGCCAACACGATTTGCATCCACTGCGCGCCGCGTCATGATCATTGATCAACAAAATTAATACAACCGACAGTCCGGGAATATTAAGACAAATGCTTATTTACTCATACTTACAATTCATGTTATAAGTTCCTCTTCTTCGTCCCTTTCATCACCAACGAACTTCATTGAAGTAAAAAGAAAATTTCGCTTCTACCTCACAAGAAGGCACTGCCGTCGACACAGCCACATGCAGGTTTTTTGAATCGAACGAAGTGATCCCCGCGCAATTTCTCGCGCATGCTCAGACGTTTGACCGCGGTGTGGTTTACAGTATGCCGTTAGAAAAGAGTTAGGGGAGGTTAAGGGAGGGGAGGGGGAGAGGCTATGTTTTGTCTTTGTGCTCTTTGTCTCTGGTTAGTTACCCCTAGATGAAAATGAAACAACCGTTTCTGAGGGTACTCATTATTTACCTTTTGGATCAGCATGTGTCAGCAGTTGAATGTCATGCTTCTCACTGAATGCTACAAGATCCTGAAAAAATAAATGAAAAATAACTTTAAAACTTTAAAAACTCAAATTCAAATTCAAGGTAAATAAATTTAGAGAACTTTCCTAAGGGAAGACATTTATACTTTGTCATATACATTATTACACTGGCATATAAAAAGTAGCTTCTACAGGCAACAGCCCATTCCCATACAAAAAAGGAAAAGAAAAGAAAACATTGACAAGAAAATGGTGGCACTGGGAAGTTACCGGTATAATATCAGAAGGATGGGGCATGCAAAGGAATACATCGTGTGTCCCCCTCACATGCCTTGTTCTCTCTGTTGCACCCATATTATGCAAGCGCTTGCTACATAGGCTAGTGTTACACTTATCACTTTAATGCAGCCAGTGGCTGAATTGCAAAAGAACCAGATTTGAGATTGGACCTCAACAGGTTCACCCACAAACCACTCTAAGCAACCTCAAAAGGAAAAATGCAGCACTATTAGTTTAACATGTTCACCTGACCTGTAGCAATTTAAGTCGATCATAACATTATAAATTACCTTTGGCATCACGCAACACGAAGCAAGATTGACTTGGTTGATCCCAGGCTTGATCTGCAAGGAATTATTTGCAAAAATCAGTGCAATAAGTTAAACATAGGTTATTCATGTACATGAACATTTAGCGGTGAAATGCTGCCGATCAGAAACAAAATCAAAACTAAATAAGTAATAACCATAAAATGAGATAAACTGAAAAAAGATAATAACGTACCCTTGCTGACTGATAAAGTTTTTCTAGCGTTGGCTTGTCCAGGTCACAAACTCCTAGATCTTTGATATATCCGCTGTCTGATAGAAACTCCATTTCCTAAAAGTTTGGACAGCACAGTTTGTAAATAAGACCTTCAGTCATTTAATTTGACTGATGAAGAGGAAGAAATAAGATTGAAATAACCTCAAACTATTTCAGATCAAATTATCTTTGCTCTAAGAAAGAGATATTTCTTAATAACTTTATTTGTGTAGTCACTGAGGATAGCATTTCAAAGTGGATAAAGCAGTTTTTTAGAACACTTCCATATGTAACTTACATTTAAAAAAAAATCACTATTGGGTGTTATAATCATGCAGTTTTAACAACAAGGTAAAAAGAGTTAAACGTACCTCCCAGAAGCCCTTAAGAACTTCAAAAGCATCTTCACCAGACATCTCTGGCAATGCTAAGAACAAGGTTTCCACAGACTCCACTCCAAGCTCACACATTGCTAGTAAGAGGGGAAACAAATTTGAAAACATTATTTCCTAAACAGTTTAAGGGATAGAACTGTGACCAATAATATTCAATGCTCCAAGGATAAAGAACCCTCAAGCCTCACCTCTGAATAGTGCATCCTGGATAATGGCAGGTTTGAGTTCAATTGCGAATACTTTCACTGTAATCAAAAGGAGAATTGATGATGTTTAACAATTTATTTTTACGTTTCAGGCAGAGAGTCAGTGAAATTATTTTGTGATATTAAAGTAAGTTAGAACCGGTTCAAACGTCTCATTTCACAAGTGCCAAATCTAATTATGCAAATGAGCAAGAACAACAGATTTTCATAATTAGCATTAGATTCAGCACATGTGAAATGCGATGTTTGAACAGGGCCTAAGATGTAATAAATTAAAGCTAGGGAAGAAACAAGCATAGCAAAATGTCTCATCAGAATAGTAAAAAAAATATTACCTGAAATTTTGAGATGTTCCCTTTCTCCTCGCTCTATTTTTTCCACAAACTTTTGGTTCACACATCTCAATGCCTTTTTCTAAAATAACATAAAATTAGAAAACTAATGATTTCTAATGTCTCCTGTTTTCATAGTAAAAAGCAAGGAGTTACTAGATTTCTCTGTAGTATTTCTGATGGGCAACCAAGGCATTTATAGTCTGGTAGACAGAAGCACTACTTAGCTCTGACACCGCTACACTAAAAACACAACTCTGTCTAGTCACATGACCTCAAACTTCCTGCACTAGGAAAGTCCCGCATGTACACTACAATCTCTTCTCGTTTCTCCCTTGTGATAACAGATAATAAATTATTATTCTTGTATTCTTGAGTAATTATTGCAACTTACTGGAATAAATTCCTCTTCATTGTTGTTCCCAGGCACTAAGCTGCTCAATGTTGTTCCAATGCTTTCAGATAGCTACAATAATATTGAGAACACCACATATTAAACTGATGTCCATCTTTAAGTTTTGTGATAATAATCCCTGTTTTTGAAAGTAATGTAAGTACTTTAGGAATGAGGAGATGCTTTGGGTTTGGGCGAGTTAACTGAGTTTTTTAAAAATATAATATTCAATTGAGTTAATTCAATATCTTTTATTTATTGAAGGCAAAATAATAAGACATTCGAATGCTAATTAACACATGATGGTGGACTACTGCTATCGAGCAGAGAAAAATGAAAATACATGTCTATCACCCCACCCTACACTAATGGCCTGACTAATACATTTTTTTTAAATGTAATACAGTGTAAGTGTTCTTAATATATTAACTTACGTAACTGTTTAATTAACTAAACTTATATTGAGGCAGGTACATTTTTTTAAATTGTTGACTCGCATTTTAAACAAAATCACTTCGGTAGCAAATTAATGATTTTTGTTTATTTTAGGCACAAAGGCCAAAAATAACCCATATGGACATGTTGGTTCTATGGATTGCATTTTTCTTGACAATGAAGCTTAAATTGCTGACTCACGGGACGAACGCGAATTCATCACGCATACAGTTGCCTTTCAACGATTTTCTAATCCGACTAGTTTAATGTTTATAATGCACGAATGAGTCTATTTTGGTTTTAAAAACTGCTTTGTATCGATTTCTGATTTTCGTGACGAAAGAATCTGCGAAGCCGGCTGGGTTATTGTTTACACAGAAGGACTGTAAATAGTGTGTGACAACAGAAAAATATAAGCCTAAAAAGTTCCTTAACAGAGGATTCAATGTAAGAGACTGTAGGAAGCATGGAAAATTTATTTTTTACCCAGTGTCGACGAAAATGAAGATCATGAAGGGCTCTAAGCTTGTACACTCTCGCGTGCTCGAATTAAAAAATCTCACCAAAGACTCAGAACAAACCTCATCCGATGAACTAGGTGTAGTCTTCCGTTTGATCCTGTTCCAGTTGGAAATGTTGCCTCCGTGTATATACAACTTCTTGGCGAATTTGAGAGCTTTTTCTGTGCTAAATCTTTCGTTTAAACCGTCGTTAATACTGACACCATTTTCCATGGGTTCGTTCGCCATAATCGATTGTTGTGGTTGTGTCGAGGAAACCGCTGAGTCGTCCAATATTTATACTTCTTTCCCACTTAGCTTTGCAGGCGTCGTGTCACGCTTTCTTGTTCCACGACCTCTTCAAACTTTGTCGAGAGGAAATATTTTCGGTTTTGCCTTTCCCGGAATATTCTGGCGTTTTTGTCCAGCTGTACTTTTTAGGGTTTTCTGTGTTCTATATTAACGTCTTATGCAACGATGTCAGCTGAGGTGGAGAGTATTTTGAGATCATTTTGGGAGTGGCGTTTGAGGGAGAGTCCAGAATTCGCGACGCAGATTGGCGTTCATACTTTCGACAGTTGCCTAGATGTTCATAGTTTGGATGCATATGCCAAGCGTAAGGTAAAATATTCGCTTACCGCAAAGATCACATGACTATTGTGGGTGTCTAGAAAACGACGACCTAGAAAACAAAGACCTACGACCTAGAAAACGACGACCTACTAGAAAACGACGACCTAGAAAACGACGACCTAGAAAACGACGACCGAGAAAACGATGACCTAGAAAACGATGACCTAGAAAACGACGACAGGGATGGGGTAGCTCGAAGGATTAAGAGGTTATAGGGGTACAGAAGGCGGGAAATAAGAGGACGATACGAGGGAATTATGAAGGGGTGATCTAGAGGTGGGCGAAGAAGGAAAAGTACAGAAAAATAGTAAATATTATTTGTACCGGCTAAGGGTATGAAGCCAAGGAATAAAACGGGGCGTCTGGAAAAACCGGAAACCGGAATCCGGAATAGGAACGGGAATGGGAACAGGAACCGGAACCGGAACCGGAAACAGCAACGGAACAGAAACAGCAATGTGAAGGGGAACCGATACAAGAACAGGGATATAATTTACTTTAAATTATTTTAATTCGAATTCAATTTATACAAAAAATAAGAACACTACTCTGGTATCATGCTCCCCACCGAATCTCTTTATAATACGGCAGCAAGGAGGTAGAAAAAGCCGCAAGTTAAATAAGTAAAGCAACAGCTTTGCGAGTGCATCGTATCGCGCTTTCTGTCAAATTCCTCACCGCGTATGCACAACTATGATGTAAATGATCAAATCTTAAGTTCTCTTAAGAACGTGAACGACAGGCAATAAATTTTATTGTGTCTTTCTGAGCTCGGACGCGTCTCCAGTTTCATTTCCCAACCTTTAATAGACTCGGCAATTTGGAATTAATGAGAAATAGTTTGAATTAAGACCAATTCAGTTTCTCAGTGGCGTTTTCGCTGGCGTTGCCGTCGTCAGATCTTAAGGTTCCTTTTGTCTCTCACAGGAAGGTGGTTATCACATGTTAATATTATTTGTCAGACCATGTGTATCACGAGACACCCATCGGAGACGTTTATTGGGCTGCCATACACCTCAGGTTTGCTCCATAGATATATTGTGCGGTGCTAAATTGGGAAGTTAACCAGAGATAGATAGTCCACAGCTTAAAAAGGGTATTAACATGTACTTCCTCCCCTCCCCCAAAACCCATCTCAGCGGCCAGTACTTCATCTACCTCAACCGCGTGCAATAGGGACCTTAATAAGCAAGCAGAACGTTGACGTCGAGGACATTAAAAATGGAAACTGGAAGTGGATGTTTTCTGTCTTTAGGTGCTCTGACTCAACAAATTCGCACACTGGAAGGCAAGAGGAAGAATTCAGATTCGTTGTGTGAGACAGAAGCGTTCCATCAAGCGACGGTCAGCGTTCTCGTTGCTTAAGTTCGCTATTATGTTTGACACGAAAACACAATGTGTCATAGGCTAAAGATAAAGAAAGGTTAATTAGATTAACATTTCAAGGGTGTTTTCTTGTTTCTTTAATTATTTCTCTGGCTTTTTATTTATATCACGATTATATCTTTTTCTTTTCATATTCTATACACTGTTTATATTTCCGTTCCTATTCCGGTTCCTATTCTATTTTTCCCTTATTTTTCGTATATAATCTGAACAGGAATTAAATCCAGATTAAAATCCCTGCTTTTATATAGGTTTCTCTTCCCATTCCGGTTCCTATTCCGGTTCCGGTTCCTGTTCCTGTTCCTATTCCCGTTCCTATTCCGGATTCCGGATTCCCGCTTTTCCAGATGCCCAATAAAACGGTGGAACTGGAAATGCAAGGTGCGCGAGGTCTCCCCTCTGTTTCGTTTATCAAACAAGCGTTGCCTGTTTGTTATCGGATAGATTTATTTGATGACAAGAATTGTATTAGCTTATTGTGTTTCAAACCAGTTTTTCAGTAGAATCGAAGTGAGAAAGAAAATAATTTACAGTCTGTCTATAAATCCGCTTACCTGAAAAATCTGTTAAAAGAATTTGCTAACCTGTAAAGAGCGATTGTTGTAACGACCCGCCACAGAAGTAAGTTAACATTGAAGTTTTCTGAATTTAGCCACGAGATTAAGACGATTTGTGTTTGTTCTGATTGCGAATTATAAATGTATTTCTTTTAGATCGAAAAATTATTAAAGCTTGGTGGTCATTGGACCTAACCAGTTCCTAAGGAAACACCCTCCCCCTCTAGAGCTGGCTGGGGTGGTGGACAATAAAGTGTTTACCAAGAGAGGATAACCTCTCTTGGTGTTTACTGATTAAAAGTATATCGGGTTAGTTTCATGAGCGATCCCGGAGTGTGTTAATAAAAAGAGGTTTGGGGAACGAAGTATTTCTAAAAGTCAAATTTCGGAAATTTTCACGTTTAGGCGGAGATGCTCGATTGATTTATTGATTAGCGTAAACCTTCGTTACATGTACCCCGCGAGATGCCTACATCTATTTTTCTTGCGTTATTTTCGTAACGCGGTTTATAAAACCGTCTCTCGCATTTTTAAGCAGCAGTTACAGAGTTTCTAGTGTCGTCGCAGGAGCTATTGTTTTGTCTTGGACATTGCATTGTGCATTGCGTGAAAGTGATGGAAGAATTAAAAATGAACCGAAGTGAAATTTTTAATTTTGCTCTGCGGCGTTGTCTCTATTTCTCATGATGTAATAATTTATTTCTGAACAATTCAAAAGTTCTGCCGGAGATCTCACTGCATATATACCACGCTCTCGGACCTGTGAGGAAACAGAAACTCCTAGGATGATACGATTCAAATCTTACAGTTCAAATACAGTTCAAATCTGATGACATGTCAACCTTCATTGTGTCCCAGATAATATTTCACAATTCTCGTTACCGGTATGCTGCCGTTTCATGTATGGAAAGGTACGAGAAAATGTTGAAGCCCTTCTTTCTTTATTTTCAAAATATAAACTGTTTGTTTACTGTGTTGAGCTGTGAACGCAAAAACGGCTCGCCTGATTTATTTCCTGTTTGATTTATGTGGGCTTGAACTTCTCGCTATAAACGACGCGCCAGTGAAGCAGTGTATATTATTTAGGTCATTAAGATTTGATGGAAATTTGTTTAAATTGATATCAGGATAATAAATAGGTCAAAGCAAAGCTTTTGCTTCCAGTAGTCAGTCATGTTGAATCATGACTTCATTGACCATACTAAAGGAAAATTTGACTAGAGAAACTTTTTTAGTGGAGCTCTCACGCGCTCGCGTAAAGGGGGCACAATTGGTAACAAATTTGGTTACCTTTGCATGGGTGCCATTCCATTCAATCAAAACGTCTGGTTTAAATTTTCGGCAACTTCCTTGCAGTACCGAATGGAACAGCACTTTCGCAATATAATAACCAAATTTTCGAAAATTATCATTGGGAAGTTTTCTTTCCGCATTCAAATTTGCACCCGAATGTCTAAAATTTCTGGTTGAAAGGTTCGCATTTCGGAAACTTTTCCAGAAGTCTGGGAACTTTTCCGGGAAAATACTGTACCAATTGTCGCTGTTTCCAAAGTTTCTTAAGTTTTGGGTGAATGGAAAGCGCCCAAAATGCATCCAAGAAATTTTGGTTCTGAGAGAATTGTCTGCACGTACTACGATGTGCAAAAAAGTGTGCTGCACGTGCATATTAGAACTATTGACCTTAGCATTACTTATAACCATCCCCGGGTAACTAGCGGCTATGAGCGATTTGCGTGGGTGTTTGGCACTTTTGATAAGATGACTTTGAGATTTGCTATGAATTTGTTCGGGGACGGGGCATTTCGCACACTTCTATTAAGCCTTTCCCCCCCCCCCCTCCCCGCGGTTTTTTTTGTTAGGTCGTCGTTTTCTAGGTCGTCGCTTTCTAGGTCGTCGTTTCCTAGGTCGTCCCTTTCTAGGTCGTCGTTTTCTAGATCGTTGTTTTCTAGGTCGTCGTTTTCTAGGTCGTTGTTTTCTAGGTCGCCGCTTTTCAGGTCGCCGCTTTTCAGGTCGCCCCTTTCTAGGTCGCCGCTTTCTAGATCATCGCTTTCTAGGTCGCCGCTTTTCTAGGTCGCCATTTTCTAGATCGTTGTTTTCTGGGGTCGCCGCTTTTCTAGGTCGCCGCTTTTCTAGGTCGTCCCTTTCTAGGTCGTTGTTTTCTAGATCGTTGTTTTCTAGGTCGCCGCTTTTCTGGGTCGCCGCTTTTTTAGGTCGCCCTTTCTAGGTCGCCCCTTTCTAGGTCGCCGCTTTCTGGGTGGATGGCTTTTTCTAGGTCGTTGTTTTCTAGGTCGTCCCTTTCTAAGTCGTCGTTTTCTAGATCGTTGTTTTCTAGGTCGTCGTTTTCTAGGTCGTCGTTTTCTAGGTCATCCCTTTCTAGGTCGTCGTCTTCTAGATCGTTGTTTTCTAGGTCGTCGTTTTCTAGGTCGTCGTTTTCTAGGTCGTTGTTTTCTAGGTCGTTGTTTTCTAGGTCGTCGCTTTCTAGGTCGTCGTTTTCTAGGTCGTTGTTTTCTAGGTCGTAGCTCTTCGTTTTCTAGGTCGTCGTTTTCTAGACACCCGACTATTGTTTGTTTTGTTTTTATACGCAAACGAAATAAAGCTCCCGATATCACAAAATTCTTGGAAGTACTGTATTTTAGATCAGAACTCGGGCTTCCGCCATTAATTTTCTTCCAGACCAGGGCGTTACCAGTGTCCATAAAAATCAATAATTGACGATCAAATTCGATACTAATCAATAGAAATCAATAAAAATTGACCACAAGATTGATCGTCATTATGGATTCGATCGATTTTGATCGACGTGTATCAATATACGAAAAAGGTGTGTGGTGGAAGAAAAGACTGCATGTTAAAGTTTGTGTTGACTTTGTTTTCTTACAAGCTGCACAGTGATTTTTACAGTTTGTTCCCTGTTAGCAGAGGCCTCTTTTCCTAGAAAGAAGCCTGTGCTAGCAGGGGATACACAGACTTGCCAACCCCTAAGAGGCAAAAATCAGAAAAATCTTTAGTTTCTGACTCGTGACCGGCATCTCAGTCAAGAGTCAACCAAGATGTCAGTTGATACATCAGTCGACAGTCCCCCAAAAGATACATGATCCAAGCTGGAAAAGTAGTGAGAACTTGAAAAAAGAGATGTCCCAAATTTCCTAGCCTGATTCTCAGATGTCCGAGGTCGTTCGCGGTCCCTTTCGCTTCAGAGGGAGGGAAGCGAAAGGGAACGCGAACGACCTTGGACGTCTGAGAATAAGGCTACAAATTTCCTAGTGGAAAGACGTACGTCTTACGTAGTGGATTTTGGGTATTATACCATGTAAGCCTCATCTTTTAAAGTTGGAGCGGAAAATATCACCTATCTCTTCACGTGGGAATCTTAACCAACACCTGTGCTCTTTCCGCACCATCCAGTTGAAGGGATACTGGTAAACTGGCACACGTGAATTATTCCGCACCATCCAGTTGAAGAGATACTGGTAAACTGGCACACGTGAATTTCTAGAAATATCTGATGTTGGAAGGAACTTTTGTAAACAAAAACCTCTCAACCTCTTATACGTAAGTGGATGTGGCCAATCAGAAATCAGTTCCTGGACCTTTGAAACGAAAAACGGGCTCACCAACCACTCATTTAGGAAGTAAACTTCAAACTATGTTAATGTAGTATAGTTGAGTACGTACACAAGAGTGGGACAAATTTGCTGTTTTTATGCTAGAGAAGTTACCGGAAAGTCGTCTGAGAGTTTAAAGTTGTCTTGAGACGACTTTATTGTCTATTAAAAAAGACGCTACTTAAGACAGACGTATTTAATGTCTGATGACAATAACGACTTTAATGTCTCAGACATGAAATACATCCTGCATTAAAACAGGGCATTGTAAACTGGGATGCATTTATTTGCAGCTCATCAAGAGATGACTTTGAAGAGTCAGTGTGCTGTATCTTTTCCGTAAAACTCTGTTTTCTTTTTAATGTTATCCACTTTTATGCATCCCCTTTTTACACCAGTGGACCTTAATTAAAGTCTCAGATGTTAAATATGTCAAGACAACTTTAACATCTCTAGCATAAAAATGGCCAATTTAAAGTCTTTATACAGTGTAGTGTTTTAGCTGAGGCCAGGTAGTGACTCACAAAGCTCATGATAATTAATATTAATCACTGAGTTTACTTGTACTGGTTATCTATTTGTAACTGTTTTTTTAAACTTCAGGAAGACTGCAAAGAATTCTTGAAGAGATTAAATGCAGTTAGTACAAGTGATATTTCTAAGGTAAACTGACCATTTTCTGAGTATTTTAACATTTCTCTTGTAGAATTAAATTGCTTCAGGCAAAAAATGAATGTCCTCCAAGCTTCTACAAGGGGTTTTGGTCATTATATGGGTTAGGAACAGGTGATTTCTGTTGCATGGCAAGATTCTAGCTCACTCCCTTTTCCTGATGTTGCAGAGCCCTTACGTCACTGCCCTTGACTCGTGTTCCTTCAAGAATTTGTTAGTATCTTTGCCCAAACTATCTCCTGTCCACAAAGCTTTATTATTAAAAAGGATATTATTTTTAAGTGGCACATGCATGAAGGCCTGGGTTGTAATCTGCAATAGACCTGCAATAGACTCCAGGAAGGAGGGAAACTCCTTTTAGCATTCTACAGACACCAACCACAAGAAAATTGGGTGTCCTGTGGCACACATGTCCCTTTAACTTTGTATTATAAAGGGGCAGGGTGTGTTGGTTTAACTGGTCATTTTTTTGCTTCATTAGGATCCCAGTAAACACCTTCTTTTTATACATGGTACATGTAGATACAGCATGGGGCAAAGGGTTTATCAAGTAACTATTTTGTTTGAAGATCAGTAGAATATTATTAATATTATAATTACAGTGGGTAAGGAATGGCCATATCGTCCCGACACTGAGGATGAGCAAAAGTCCTCACATGGTGCTTGATACAGTAATTTTGTTTATTACTTTTGTCATGACCAGCAGAAACTGGCTTTTATTAACCCATTCTCTCCTCCCTTCTTTTTTCGCTTTTCTTGCCTCATTTTTTTTTCTCTTGCTGGGCATTTAGTAGGCTTCATTTTGGTGGAAAGAGTTTTTAGGAAAGCTTTTAGGATCTTAGGATTAGGTGAAAGGAAAGGTAGGTGGGTAATGGAACAAGATTTTCATGGAGATTTTCAGGTCCTTGTCACGTGGTTTTTTGCTTCTTTCTCCGGTGTCCTTGACTGAATTGTGCTCATTCTGGTATGGTTTGAAAGATCTCTTCACTCTGCACACGTGTGCGAAGAAAGTTGTCCTTGACCGTTAAAACTGATGACGTCACAAAGGGTAGAAAGGATCTGGATCCGAACGGGCGGTTACGGGCGGTTCAGGGGCGAATGGGTTAATCAAAAAACCTAAAAATGGCCTTTTACCAACTTTTTCAGCTGATTTTACATGAAATAGACAGATTTGGTTGTTTTATGCTGAAAAGTGGATTTTTTTCAAAAAGCTTGGTACTCTGCTTAACCCATTCGCTCCTGGAGATTTTGCCGAAAAACGCGTTTTGAAGCTAGTCGAGTGGTTTTCTGGTCACTCTCGTGCTATAAAGAGCTAAAACTTACGGGCGGTTCAGGAGCGAATGGGTTAAGCCAACTGCTACCAATGATATATGTAAAAATGGTCAGCTACAGGTTCAAATTGACTAAAGAGGCATGATAAGGCCATAGGAAAAATCTTTCTAATTTAACGACTGGTAAGCTTTTAGCTGCCTTTAGTTAATGACAGCTGGCCTGTGTTCATCACTACTTTTGGGTATTAATCTTATCATTCATTTTAGACTGATGCCTTAAATGTGAAGCTGCTTCAAAGAGAAATCGAGATGTTTCTGGAAGGGTCAAATCATAAAAGGTTAGATAAATGGAATTCAGGTGTTTTATAGCTTTCTAGTTCTCTTTTACAATAAAACTCAAAAACCCATGAACATCTGAAATATTTTGGGAGGATTAATTGTGCTTAATCAATAACTTAACACAATTGGATGGTTTCATCATCATCTCATAATAATTGCTATCTGGCTCCAAGTGTAGAGTTTCATGTCATTTTTAAGTAAAATGATACACTGTATACCTTCTACTACTTATTTCTTTTGTCTTATTATTATTATTTTTTATAGACCTGGGCATTAATACTAACTAACACTTATAAAAAGGGGACTGCCTTGCTGGTTTCATTGCAACAAGACAACAAAGGAACAATTTGGTCTTATATAAGTGATTGTTAATTTTTATGCAGAGGGACTGAGATGAATTTCAAATATAACACCGTTTTAACTGGAAGGAGTTATGAGTATCAATATTGCAAGGAAAAAGTTTTGGACTACAAAAGGGCCTTTGTAACATATTTTCAGGTGGCCAGAGAAAATTGCTACTGCCCCTGATGTGGCAATGTTATTCAAAGTAGGTGACGTGCAGTGCAAAACAAGGCAATCACCTTAATTTTAAAGATTAAAGCCATTTAATTAAAAAATGGTGTAATTTTCCTACAGTCACAATGCTTATTATTATTTTCTACTCATGATAACTGTGTGGCCTTTGTCTTATTTTAGCTACTTGTTTCCTCTAATAAATCTAGAGGGACCCCAGCTGGAATTTTTTACACGGCTGATTTCCTGGATGAAATTTGAAACCAAGGAGGATTATGAAAAATATTTTTCAAGGCTGAATGCTTTCCCAACTCAGGTGTGTAATACCATGGTACTATAAGAGAAGAGTAAGGAGCAACCATAATAATGGCAATGGTTAAAATGTCTCTCAGAAAAAGAATTGTCACTCTTTAAAAATTTATTGGGTTTATTTAGCCTCACTCAATTTGTGAAATACAATGTAGGTAAAAGTTCAAAAAGGAAAAGATAATCTCATCCTAGTTGTTCAAGTCCTCCATTAAATGTCACATCAGTAATTTTTGCTTTGTAGTTGTGCAGTTGATGTCATGATCAGTGAAAAAAAAAAATTATGTTTCAAACACAGCACATGTAATGCTGTTGATGTAGCATTTTTGATGATGTTGTCATTGTTGTCTTCATTGCTTAAGCTTCCTAGGTTTGAAAAAGCCACTTGGTTTACCTTTGATCAAACTGATCTTTCTCTGTGAGGTGATGTAACTTGTTTACTTTTTCTTTCTATAATGACCAGGCCTCTGAGATGATTGTATTGCTGGAAGAAGGAATCAGAACACACTATGTACCTCCTCAGCTTACTGTCGTAAGTGTTTCAATAAAAGCATAATGGGAAACAGACTGAGATGCCATCTATCTTGAGGAGAGGGCTTTTGAGAAGATCCTGTTAATGGTTAATGCTAGTTATAATGGAAGGGCAGTCCTAATCACAACTCAGTTTGTATATAGGGTGGGGTGGGGGGGAGGGGGGTAGCTGTACGGATGCTTTTCTCTGTCTTCTCTCAATCCAGCATAAGGTTAATCAGTATCTTGATACCCCAGAGTGCAAGGCAGTACGTTTACTTGCGATGGACTTTAGTAAAGCATTTGACTGCTTGAAACACAACCTTTTGTTTGACAGAAACTGAAACAGCTGAGTAAGATGTCACTCACATGTTGCATGTTCCATGAGATGTTACTCATCAGAGTCTTTGCTAACTGTATATCAAACAGATTGTTTTTTTTAGCATGACAAGATCATGATGTCTATACATGTATATGTGGTGTGTTTATAGCATCAGACTCTGATGAGTAGGATCTAACCCGCATGTTGCATGTTTGTTTAGATGCTACTCATCAGAGAGTCTATGCTAACTGTACAACAAACAGATTGATCTTTTTAGCATGACAAGATTAGAAGGTCCATACATGTAATAACAATAATAATAATAATAATAATAATAATAATAATAATAATAATAATAATAATAATCCCAGCCAAAATTACAGTATGTAGAGATCAATCTGAAATCTACAACTACTGATGGAGTCAACTTTCTAAGAATAAATTCATTAATGTTTTCTTGGGAGTTATGCTTGACCTGGTTTGACTGTAAAAGGGGTTGTTCAATATAATGAACAAATTTCCCCAATCCCTCTGGCAGTTCGTTAATCGAGCTTCCGTTGTATCTAAAGTATCTAGCAAAGAACAGGGGGCAAAAAAGTACAAAAATACCAGGATCAGGATCTGCTGTGCAAAAATTAATGTTGCCCACATATTTTTGCGTGGCGACATGTGTGGTGTGTGTGGCCGAGCAGTTAACACCTCGAACTCTGGATATGGAGGTCCGGGGTTCAAGCCCCGCCTGTTGCATTGTTTCCTTAGAGAAGGAACTTTACTCCACTTTGTCTCTCTTCACTCAGGTGTATAAATGGGTACCGGTGACATACTGCTAGGAGGTAACCCTTCGATGGACTAGTATCTTGTCCAGGGGGAGAGTAGCAATACTCCTAGGCTTGCTTCATGCTACAGAAACCGGTATAAGCTCTGGCCGTGTGGGTCCTGGCTCATGTGCGCCTTTACCTTTTTACATATTTTTGCGTGTGAGAGAGGTTTTACGTAGTAGAGAGTCTCCGCTAACTGGACATCAAACACCTCTCTATGTTTATAGTTGCACGTGGAAGGGTATTATTTTTTTATATCTCTGCGGAGGAATGATAAACAGCAGCAAATTATACAGCATTAATATTTCTCTTAGACTGTGTAGCAAGTGTTTTTGCAGCCCAATAACTCAATAATGGAAACACTTGCTTTGCAGGCTTTATTTCTCTTTAAACCTGCCCTCTCAGAAATTTGCTATCTCTTCAGTGTGTCAATCATGTCGTCTGTCTAGGGTTCAGTGTTAGAGAGAGCATGATATTGTTGAAGGAAAGGAACTTTCTGCTGATAATACCAAGCTAATAATAGTAATAATAAACATTGATAGTAGTGATAATAATAATAATAATAATAATAATAATAATAATAATAATAATAATAATAATAATGGATAACAAAGCATACTATTAAAAACTTTTTTATTTATTAATTTTGTTTTAAAAAACAGTCATTTTAAGCACCATTTACAATATTGTTTTGATGTTACAAAAATACGTTGAAAATTTCAATTTAAAAAATTCATCTCAATTGAAAAAAATCTTTTCAATCATGAACAATTCGTTTCAGTTAAAAGCAATTAATAATAATGATAATAATAATAACAATAATAGCAGTGCATCAAAAAACTAAATTTCTTCGTCGAAGTTCATCATTTAGTGGGTTGCAACACAATTTCTAAAACCATGATAAAGTTTCTTTGAGGATTCAATTAAGTTAGTAAAACTATGATATATGGAGACCAATCAAGCGTATTTTTTGTGTTCGTAATGACAACTATCTCAGCTTTTGTAATAATAACCAACCTGTTATTGTTAAAGAAGTGTTCACGTCATTTTGAGGCTTCTATGCAGACATTCTATTGCCTCATCATGCAATTTCAGTAGACTGTTTTTACATGAATGCAAAAAATGTCCGAGGGGGAGAAAAATATTATTCATCTCCCTCTCATTCTCTGAGCAGGATTTGATAAATTTGATAAATGGAGGAAATTGGGGAGAGTGCTCAATAAGAATGTGCTAAATGTACAGTTTCGGAGTCATAAAATCCAGAGGATTCTGGGTACAAGATTGTACACATGCACAAAATCAGCCCAATTTATTTTGAACCCACCATTTGCATGTTTAGAGTCGAAAAAGAAATCTGTAGTCTTACAAAACTGGGTAGGGAAATGAACGGATATTGTCTTAAACAGGGATTTGAAGAACTTTGCAGGATTCCCCTAGTTCCCTTCATGGCCTCCTCAGGTATTAAACCTATGTTTTTTCAATTTTCTACTACATGTACTCTAAAGGCCCATGTTCCTGAACAAATTATGAAAGTGATAAATGCAGTATTTACAGAAGATAACAGTGTTTTTACACCACTGAAGAAGTTTCCAGAAACCTTTTCAGAGGAGGAAAGGTGTGTTCTGCAGTTTTTGTAGTAGCCAAGGTTTTCTTGAAAATAAGGTAGTCTGCTATGCAACTGTTTCTTGGGAAGGAGCGTTGCGTGACGACACAATGAACGGCTGTGAAGCAGAAGACTTGGGACTCTGAGGGTGAAATGATAATTACTTTAAGTTGCCTTTTTTTTATCTAGTTGCATTTATACCCTTGGTGCCTCTCTCTTATTGATCTAACCCGGTACATGTGGTGTGCAGTCCTAAGCAGGCTGTACAAATTCACTATTAATTAGCGTCTTGAACATGGCCGGTATGAAAAGTAGGCAGTGTACAGTTTGCTGGAAAGACGTCCGGCACCGTTGTTCTTAATCTGCTAGATTCCCGTCTGTTCTGAATTGTCAAATTGTGGCGGATCGCGTGCTCACTTATTACAATCCTGAATCTCGTGTTCTTTCTTGGCTGAATTCCCGAATCCCTTTGAAATGGCCTAGGGAGGTAAGGACAATTTTGAATCCGATCAGTTGTGTCACTTACTGTATTCCCTTCACAGGGCGTCATTCAAAGAACGTGGTGTTAGACTGATAGAGGAAAAAGTGAAGCCCGCTTTTAAGAAGATCCATGACTTTTATTTACATGTGAGTAGAAGTTGAACAACTGAATGTTGCTCGCTCTAGAATATGGTTATTTAATACAGTGCAGTTATTTACTACAGTGCAGAGTGGTTAATGCTGCCAAAGAATTAATATCCGTGTTCTGCTTATGGTTTGCAGAAGTACATTCCCCAGACCAGGCAGTCCATTTCATGCAGTGAATTTCCAAATGGAACTGCATTTTACAACCAGGTAAGAAGTGTAGAGATGGTATTATATTGTATAAGAGCTGACCCGAGAAGGACTAGCTCAGTTGGTAGAGTGCTTGACTTCAGAGTGAAGGAAGTTGTGGGCTGGATACCCAAGGCTGAACCAATATATCCAGGGTCTGAAATACAATGGTACTGGGTTTGCTTTGCAAATGACAAGACGTTCGTGTTGCTCGGACGAGCACGTAAAGTGGTGTTCCCTCCCCGGTGGAAGACATGATTTAGTGTATTCAATATTATTTTATGTGCAGCTGTAGTACTTTCGTGCTAAATACACCGATGTACATTGACAGTCCAATTTTTTGTAACACACAAAAATGAGTACTTGTAATATTATCATGGTGTGGCTTCCTCATGAGTTGACGGTTTTTTTTTTTTTTTTTCTGTAACATGCTATTTCGCATTAAAACATAGTAATTCATTGTAACATACACTCTATGTAGCTCTTTCATTAATTGACTCTTAAATACCACAATTATTCAATGCTGAATCAGGTGTTAAAGTTCCACATTGCCTGTGATATGACAGCACAAGAAGTTCATGAATTGGGGCAGGCTGAAGTCCTACGAGTAAGGTCAAGAATGGATGAGGTAAGTACACTTTGCGGTGTTAAGATTTTGGACATTTTAATCCTGTTGGCATCATAACTAATGCCTAGACCAAGCGTTGAACTTTTCATGAGACGAACCAAACTCTAATTTGGGTCGACCTAAGGTAAGTTAAGATCGTCTGTAGGGTCAGACGTCGAACTCGGGACTCTTCGAACTAATCAACTGAATCAGAACAAAAAGCAATATTAATAAATTTTCTCCCAAACAAGACTACGGTAAATATACATTATGATACTAAAATTTCTAATTTATTAGTTAGTTCGTGGCATATGAAGATCGACGTTTGTCCACTGAGGAGACGATCTTCAGACGTTCTATCCGTCTGAAGCAGACGGATTAAACTAAAACGTGCCATTCACGCGCAGAATGAAGGCAACGTCCTTCAGGCCCCGGAGTCAACACAAATCCAGGTAAGTGTTCCCGTCCGAAGCAGACGGATAGAACATGATTGACGATTCAGACTCATTCAGGCGAACTTAACTTAAAACACTAAGTTTGGTTTGTGTTTTAAAAAGTTCGACGTTTGGCTCAGACCTAAGTCTACCACAACAAACCCCAGCTCCACATTGAGTGTTGCTGAGGGGTAATCACTGTTAGAGATCTCGGCAGGCTGAAACTGCTAGCTAGGTCCCGTCCATATAAACCAGGGCGAGTTGACGGGCGAGTTGAAACCACATACTCCGGCCCAACGCCCGTTCACACGAATCTGGACGCCGGGGCCTGAGGGACGTTGCCTTCATTCTGTTCGTGTATGACACGTTTTAGTACATTTTACTTTTCCTTTACTGTGCAATAAGGACATGTAATTTCCTTACACGACTTTTTAGGGAGGTCGTAAGTGCATGCCAACAGTTTTTTATTGTCTTTCTAAGAGTGCGGTCTCAATAATTCTACTTGGGAAAGTTCACCTACCTTTGACATTTTAAACGAGTTGGAATAATTACGATAAATTTGAACAAAAAGTTGGATCACAATCATTTGCCGTTTTGAGAAAAAAAAAAGAAACACTTGGCTCCCTGTTGAGATCGTCGAGTGCTCAGGCTTCCCCTTCCCCAGTATTTACCTCAGGGTTTGTATGCGCCTCTGTGCACGCAGCATTACAGTACAGTTTATTTGCTCTCTCGTAGATAATCAAGCAGGTTGGGTTTGCAGGAAACTTCAAAGAGTTTCTGGATATGCTTAGAACTGACAAGCGGTTTTATTACGACACAAAGGTAAATATTAATTCTATTATTATTATTGTAAATATTATTTTATTTTTATGTCATTACATTTGATTTACGTAACAGTATAAATATGATAGCAACCAACTAAGAGTTGCAATGATGATGTTACCACTTAATTATACAATACAGTAGTAAAATGAAATTTCTTGATGTGTTTCGATCGATGAGACAGAGCATTTGACCATGGGCGTTACTCACACGTCATATTGTCCCGAAAGACTGAAAAAAAGCTTTGTCTTACTTCCCCCAACCTCGCAGTAAAAAACTTGGGAGCGAGGCTAGGCAGGTAAAACAAAATTACTTTAGTCTCTCCGGACAAAATGGCCGTCGTGTCACAAAGGCCCATTTGCACGCTATGGTAAAATAATGGGCCTTAGAACCCAGTCTTTTCTTACCTGGAAAATACATAAACGGCAAATAAGCATGATTCTGCCCGATTCGGTTATCGCGCAAGTCAGGACCTACCCATCCTGAATTGTTTTAGGTTCCTTTTCTGCTGCTCAAGTTGAAATTAGAACTGCGAGGGATCACATTTACATATATTTTGAATAGCATTGGCAGGGGCTTAGCCATCCTATAAACCTAACCCCCGGGGCCTACAAATTTTTAGTTTGATCACTCTACCTCTTGTTATAAATTATTCCTTTTTGGGGGTGAGCTAAAAAGCATAAGAGGTCAAAGTGTTGGTGAGGACTGTGCAGGCCTACAACTAGTCGAAAAGCTGGCTACGCCCCTGATTGCTATATTTGCTATACTTGATGTTTTTTAAGTCTTGTTCGGATTAAGGTGCTGTGAGTAAGCCGCGTGAGGAAAAAAACTTTTCTGAAAAGATTGACTTTGTAGGCCATTTAGAAGCTGGGGAGTTTTAAATTACCTTTTCTTTCAGGAAGAACTTATAAATGGCTATAAAGATCTATGTGAGAACACTATTAAGCCAAAGCTAAAGGATTACTTCAAGGAAATGCCTAAGACACCATTTGAGTAAGTCCCCTGACCGAGCAGAATTGTCAAGAGTGCGCTTGTTGGATAGCCTCACACGCAGACGTTCTTTTGGATCGTCACGGAGGAACGCGTGACGGACCCCTAAGAACAGCTGCGTTGAGGCTACTTGTTGGGATTTTCCGCTGTAGTCGCGATGCAAGAGGTCATAGGAAGGGTTAAAATGAAGAACGCGCTTCGCTTCTCATTCAGCCTTGCCGTCCCATGTGCCTCTGTGTTCTTGAAGTTTTCCTATGATCCTTTTTGCTGCACGCCAAAAATTCCCGCGACCCCTTGGGCTGCGACTACCGCCGAAAATCTCAAGAAGCTTATTGGTTTGAGGCAAGTTGGTGTGATTGTAGTCAATTTCTCTGTTTACTAAAGTTTTTTCGTTCAAATCACTTACCTTTGGCTGCATCTAAGCGTGGACACGAGACAAAAGAAACATGTTCTTATAGGGTGCCAGACATGACGTGTTTTGCCCCCAAACATTTGAAGTTTGCCAGCCGTTAAAGCAAAAAGGTAAGTTGTTTACTTGTGTTTGATCAGCGCGTTCCGCTCATATTTTATTTTTCTTAACTTTCAGACATATTTCTCGCTCAGAAACAGCACACTTGCCTCCAGAAATTATTCTTAAAGTCTAAAAATCTTGCAAAGAAAATTTTGTTGAGCGAAAACAGCGTAAGTCGACACAGCCCGCGTACTCCAAACTTTGATTGTTGGGCGGACCAAAACACGTCAGGTTTGCATCCAATTAGAACATGTTTTTTCATCACGTGTACGCGCTTAGATGCAACCGACGGTAGATTTGTTTATAATACTCAGGATTGCCGAGACACCTGCAGATGCTGCCCCCGTGGCTCCAGCAGCTTTCTATATGGGTCCCTCTGAGGATGGCACAAGACCTGGACAATTCTGGGTCAACACCTACAAACCTGATACGAGGTAAGCAGTGGAAGTCCTCTTTTCACTAATGTGCGCTAGTGATAACCGAAGGTTACAGAGTGCGTGCGAGAACGATGGAAGGTCAAAACGCTTTTGCTTCAAATGCTTAAGTGTGCTTTGCATTAGGCAAAACATGCGTGATCATATTAAGAGTGATACAAGGTCCAAACGCGCGTCAGATCAGATTACGTTCTGTGCATTCCATTTATTGTTAGTGGAAGTCCAAACGAAGCTGGCTATGTACGTGCCGTGCTCGCGTAAAGGAGATTAGGTTTGCGGGCTTCTCTTGTCGCCTGCAGTCAGATTTGTTTGTAATACGCGATGAGATTACAACCGATTTGGCTGGCCAGCTGAGACTAACATTATTCTTGCAATAGGCTAGCAAATAATAGTTCGTTTTACCTGACTGACCTCATTTTAGTAGGACATTGTCCTTTCACCGACTGTTATTTACAGCTCTGTTGCTAAAAGTATTTCCTTATATTTTTTTCTTCAGACCCAAGTTTGAAATGGTTTCCCTTGCGCTTCACGAAGCTGTTCC